GTGACTAACCGCTCCACCATCCTCTCGGGTCGGGGTGGGAGATTCCACCTTTTTGGAACAAAGGAAAGCAGGTATGCCTAAGATAAAGCTAATTTTGGTCATTTTTCACCTTTCGGTAAAGGAACTAAGAAAATGGAAAAGTGTCTAATAAAGGGACCCGCTTTGGAATTTGGAAAGGACAACAGTCAACGGTCATCTCGGTACCGTTTCTATTTCTTTCGCGGGGAAGCAATTAGGAAATCAAGCACATAGCGAATAACTCTTCACGGCTCTCCTCAAGATGGCTACCACCACCGGCAATGCTGGAGAGAATGGAATCCAGGAGCCGCAATCGGCTCTGATCTTCCTCGGCACCGGCTGTTCTAGCCCCGTTCCAAACCCTCTCTGCTTGATCCAGCCCTCTAATCCTCCTTGCGCGGTCTGCTCCCAATCACTCACCATTCCACCTGAACAGAACCCTAATTATAGGTGATTTCTTCAATCCGTTGTAACTCTACTTGTGAATTCAAGCTCATTTCTATAATGTCATTCAGGAAAGAAGAAATTAATTATATACATTACGTCACTAAATATGGAAAACGTGGATTATTTGGTTGAGAAAGTTTCCTATGTACTTTGAGAACCTGAGCATGCAAAACTGAGTCTCCCCTATGTATGTGGACCTGAGCCAGAAGTTGTCGTGAAGGACTGGGGTATCAAACAAGTAGAACTGGCAAAAGCTAGCACAAAAAAATATGTGGAATTGCCGATGATCTGCCCAGGAGAAAACACAGAGGACGAGAAGAGTTGTCGGGTAATTGGAGAAGTCAGCGTCCATGTGGAAATCAGTATTGCTTCCGACCCAATTCAACTTGTGCTTGAAGCCAAAAAGACAGGGGGAGAGGGGCTGCCTGTGCGTGGTGTGCGCATTGGCAGAGAGGTCGATGCAAGAAGCAATAATAGCAGTGTGCGGCAATGCGTGAGACTGAGAGGAACCGATTTGAGACATGATACATGTTGCGGATCAGGAAAGGAAATGAAAAAAAAAACTAGGCTCTGATATAATGAGCAAAATAATCCCTCCGTCCAAATTTGATTTGCAAAATTTCCTTTTTTGGTTGTCCCAAAATTATTTTCCACTTTCTATTTTAGGTATGTAAATAAGAATAAAGTGACAAATTTGCTCTTACTTTTACTTTTTCCCCATTAACTTAAAGGCATCTACTTTTAGAAAGATGGACAAAAGTGTAAAAAGCAAGATCATATATTGTCATTTCTAAATCCTTGTGCCGGTCAAAGTTTGCAATTCCATTCGGGACGGAGGGAGTAATAACTAAGCTGTCCCAGACTAATAGTGCAGATAATATATACAAAAAGAGTTTTCTGTTTCAAAAATACCCTTTGGGCATACACTATTGGATAATGGATTTTAAGGGGTGTTTGGAATTGATTCTGCTTCTGCTTTTTTTTTAAAGCAGAAGCAGAATCAGAATCAGTTTTCAGAAGCTGGTACCCTCCAGCTTCTAAAAAAACTGATTCAAGGAGTAAATTAGAGCACCAGAATCACTTCTGCATTTTCACCCAAACACTCCAACTTCTGCTTCTGCTCCCTGAAGAAGCAGAAACAGTTTTAAGAATCAGATCCAAACACCCCCTTAATATACTCAGTATTAGTAGCTTACAGTGCAAGCAGTTGGTATACCTTAACAGTTTCACCTTCAAATGTTTTCACTTAGAGTATCAAAGTTTCAGCCTCTCTTTTGTGTTTAGTTATTGAAGCTTCAGGAAGTTGATTAATCCTTCAGCTTCTTGTACATTTACCATATCCTTAGAGAATGCAGTCTCTTAGAACTCCTGTGAGTTTTGAGAGGGGTGGAGGCCCAAGACCGACCGTCCCACGTTTCCGTCTAGGACGGGGGAGAACACTACTCCACCACCTCCACTGCCCCAACCGTTAGTCATGAAGCTAGGCAACGACGAGGGGGTGGAGGCATAGGACCGACCGTCCAACGTTTCCGCACTTCGACCCGTTCCACCGTTCCAGTGAGTGTATCTTAGAGAGATGGTCTATTAGCGAAAAGAAAATCTTAATTAGTCTAGTTTTGAAAAAAAATCAGGGTGACAAAAGTGATATAACTTTCACCGCCGAGCTTATTTCTGAAAAATTCCCTTAATACTACTACGGAGTATTGCATTTTTTTGGGTCTTTAAATTTTTGGGGCCCCGCTTCAACATATTCCTGATTGAGGGACATTTTTATCTTTTCATACGGGATTGAGGTGCATTTACAAAGATTTTCCTAAGACGAATAGTGTTTGTGATTTAGGCTTGAACTATGATAAGTGATGAGCAGATTGCGCTTGTCAATTAATAGAACCATTATTCTCATATTTTGTTGAACCTAAAAAGAATACAAGCCATTTTAATTTTCCCTCCATCCCACAGCTTCGGTCTTCTTTAGGTGAAATAAGAGAAGGTAGTTAATGTAGTACAAAATACGAAGTATTAAGTTTGCATCAATGCCATGTTCAATTTACAAATCGGTCTATCTAGAAATTATTCGTAGTCCACCGAAGGTGTGGGAGCCTTTGAGGCACTATGATGATGATGATGATGATGATGATGATGATGATGATGATGATGATGATGATGATGATGATGATGATGATGATGATGATGATGATGATGAGGAGGAGGAGGAGGAGGAGAAAGTATTAAGGCTAACCGCAACCCAACCAGTCAATAAATCTAATTCAGTATTTCTCTGCAACTCAGCACCGTCAATATATCCACTCAGCACATTTTTTTAACAAAATGCATAAATCCTAGGTTATTTTATTACACATCATTTATATGTTAATTTTATTTTGACCAATAATTATTGTTTAAAAACGCAAACATTCTGATGTAAAAAAATAAAAAATGTGAATTCTTTTTTTTGTAAGTATTAAAAATAATTTTTTGGAATTATTCCCAAGCTGCAGCCAAGTTGAAAGCTTTTTATTCTCCACTAGCCCCACAATAGCAATTTTAGGGTTTTTGACATAAAACTGTAAGTTTTGTGTAATGCATTCCAAAAAGTGTAAAATAGTGTTGTCAGATCTATCTGACAAGTTTGAGCTATGTGTAGGTAGCTTAAGCCATTTTATGAATTTTTTTATTCGTAGTATGTTATAGTGCCAATAAAATTAGTCATTGAAATATATTCCGTATTACTAATAGTTACTCCGTCACCTCGTCATTTTAGGAAATTTCATTTATAAAATCTCATACGTAATATTTTCTTAAATAAATGCAACGGTCAACATTTCACACTTGCCGAGACACAACTTTGACCATTAATATAAATGATTTTGTATTAGTAAAAAATTAAAAAAATTAGATTATGAAAATTTACGATGAGACAAGTTTAACAATATTTTTTTCATAAAATACTCCGTAATATTATTACATTAATAAATAAAACGTAGTCAAAGTAGAACATGTGAATAGTGTAAAAGTCAAAGTGTTGCATTTATTTAAGAACGGGGGTAGTACTTCGTATCAAATTTGATAAATTTTATGTGGCTCTAAATTATTTTTTATCAATTCAACAATTTTCAACTTTTGGAGTTTTTGGGCTTACCGATCTTGTCTTTTTAAGTCTGGTCTGGTTAGAACGACTCTGATCTGGTCAGAAGTTTTTAAGTCTGGTATAATTTAAATTGATCTAGTCCGACTTATGTGTATTATATAATTGTTCGAGTCAGATCCGGTATGTTTAAATTTATTTTAGTGTGAGATTAAAATAAGTATAAATAAAAATTATCTAAAATCTAATCAATTCAAAATACTCCCTTCTTTCCAAAATGATTTGGGTCAACATTTTTTAGTTAGCTAATGTTAAAGTTAAATCCTCTATACTGATAATTGCTTCAATTTTTAATAATTAAAATTTAGATATTTGGAAAGTACATTAAAATATCTTCAAATAAAGTTGCAAACTCCAAATTGGATTATAATTTAAAATTCACATCATAATTAACTAAATAAAATGAAGTTGTTTGATCACGAAAAATCAATTTTGCAAATCGATTTGGGATGGAGATAGTAATAAGTAGTACTCACCATTTTGTAAAAGAAGCATAACGCATAACAAATAATAACATTTTTATTTTATCATTAAAAAATAATTACATATTTCATTTTTATGGACATTTGGGTTGTTTTTACTTGGACTACTATTAATAATAATAATAATAATAATAATAATAATAATAATAATAATAATATTTTGTCTTTTGTCCTGTTTTTATTTGGACTAGTCCAGTGTAGTCTGATATGGTCTGGTCTACTTTGAGTTGTTCTGTATTTGTATGATCGGGTCTGATCCGCTTCGATGAAATCTGTCCAAGTAAAACGATAACAATTTTCGATAATTTGGAAAGAATATTATTATTTTTAATTATAAATAAATAAAATATAATTATTTATGGATTATAATATATATAAAACATAAAATCTTTATGAAAAAAAAAATTCAAACCAGAGCAGAACATCAAATTACAGTCCAAGTAAAAACATCATTGGCGTACTTTTCAGTTGTGTTTTTAGGAGATGAGAAAAACATTATTTAGAGCCCTTTTGGTAACACCCAAATCAGCTGTATTGGCTGATTCTGGTGAAATTTATGAAGTCTTGAGTAAAGTAGCTGGATTGGTTGATTTTATTGATTTATGAACAAATTATATGTAAAATATATTTTATTAATAAAAGAGAAAAAATATGACTATGAAATAACAATTAAAATGATCATTTATAATAATTTAAGTCAATGGACGAAATCAAAATTTACGTGTTTGATTAAAAAATTGACTGACAAACCTGATAAGCCAAAAAATATGGTACTCAAACGAGATCATAATTTGGTATTTTTCATTTTGAATACTCCGTATATCTTAATTTGGTATGGGAAATGCAATACGGACAATAAGAGCAAAGGTCAAATTATTTTTTGAATTTAAAAAAAATAGGAGTCCCACCGTCAAGAAGCTATGGAATACTGTTTTACGTGCTTTGGAAACACCTGCAAAAAAATACCTTGTTTGATCATTCTCTCTCGCAATTTAAAGCTACGCACAAATTAAATATGGACCATACCTTTCCTCCTGCACCTTTCAGCCAACCTGCGCATGTCAGTCCAACAGGAGAGTCAATGCACCGGCCAAATATCCCTACCCTCAGTTTCCTGTATTACATTTAAGACCTCTTTGTACAAAAATATGTGTGGATTGCAGTAGTTTTTGGGGCGAAAACCTCACATTTCGGGTTTTCACCTCCTCCATTGCAATCAGTCTAGTGCTTAATTATGTGAATCCTTTGACAGTAGGAATCAAAATGAAACTAGCTGAGCAGCTGACAACTCTTTTATTTCCAGATTATTTTGACTCACGAGCATGGTGATGCAGTTCTTGGTTTGGATGATATACGTGCTGTTCAACCATTTAGTCCAAGAAATGACATTCATCCTACACCAGTTTATCTCAATCAACACGCGATGGATAGGTATACTCTTAAGGCATCTCGAACAGTTTACACCATTTTTATCACTAAAATGATGTAAGCATCACATCATACAATACTTTATCTCCAACAGTTTACACCATTTTTATCACAAAAAAGAAATATTCTTTTTTATTCCTTTTACTAACTTTTTACCATTATTAAATTTAATTTTCTAATTATCATATATTTATACATTAGCCCATCATTTAATATTTATTTTGGCATTTCACTCATTATTTAACAAATACGAAATACTACGTACAAACTAAAATACTACTATAATCAATATTTTACGCATATTTCACTCAGTAATCAGTATTTTTTTTATCAACTTTATAATTTAAATAAAAAAAAATTAAATTTGTTATTGTAACCAGTTTTATTAAATTTAACAATTAAATTATGAAAGAGAAATATGTTGGTCCGATCCTTTATATAGTACACAACCGTGGGTTCTAAATAGAAGGAACATCCGAACATGCTAAACAAAATGGGCCATACTATAATAGTTCAACACTTCGGGTCATTTTTGCAATAACAAAAAATCAAAAAAGGAAGATAGCGCAAGCTTTTCCTTGCGCCATATATGGCCTAAACAAAATATCTCTTCCTCATTTTAGTGAAATGGTGATGCATTTGGTGTAGCTGTTGGAACAAAAAAATGGCAAATCCTCCGTTTTGTTGAAACATTTGGTGATTGTTGGAGATGATACATTAAGTTTGACATTTTTGCGATATAAGGTATCTTTGGGTTTGGTTGACTTGAACCAACCATCCCATTCTTTCCCCTAGACGCCTCTACGGCTCCACTGCACCTGGACCATACTGACATCCTAGGTGCCAACTATGCGGGCATAGGCTGATAGGCAGTATAAGTGTATATATAACCTAAAAAAGCGGTTACCCTTGCTATTTTTTGTAACCCCTCCTGTTCCTATTTTATCTTCCAAATAGATTTGATACACAATTTAAGATAGTGAGTATTGTGTGGTGGAGAGTTGTGCAGAGGAGAGAGAAATGTGTAAGAAATGTTGTGAATCACAAATTCTTTACTAAAAAGGGAAAGTGGAAGTTTTAATTGGAACGGACGAAAAAGTAAAATTGGAAGTTTTAATAGGAACGGAGGGAGTAACAAATATCAATTTGAATAGTAACTACCATATTTAATTATTGAAGAGAATAATTGTTATGGTATCAAGAAAAAAAACACTAGGCTCTCTTTTGTTAAACTTATTTGAGACGCAGACCACGGACCATATGAATTTTTCATCTAATGTTTAGTCTGTTCTCATATGAATTAATATGGTCTGTTTTTCATGAAGTTTCAGTCTTGTATTGTCGCTTTTTTATCTGGATTGATTTGGTTTAATCTAGTCTAATATGCTTTTGTTTGATAATGTGTGTATACAAGTCGAATATGGGGGTTTAGTGGATCTGATTTATCCTTAAGCCGGACCCATATGATATGTTCTAATTCGGTTGGGTAGAATATTGTTTGATGTAATCCTTTCTTTTTTGACAGATTATGGCTTGATACGTTATTATATAAATTCTATTATTCTGAAAATATATTTACTAATAATTATACATTTATTAAATTACAAAAAAAAACATTTTTTGAAAATTAAATTTTACAACATAGTTTCGATAGCCTAAGAATTATAAAGCTATCATTAATATTTATACGGAGTATATTCTTTTAATTTGTGATCCTTTAAATAGAAATGTGTAAGAGGTTTGATAATTTAGTTTTTTAATAACTATGACATGCAAATATATCATACTATTTTTAAAATATTTTTATAGTTTTTTTACATGATATCTAAAGTTATTACAATCTGTTTAGATCAAAATAGAGCGGTCCAAACCGGAATAGATAAATCCAAATCAATTTGAGTTCAACGAAACGGAGCCTAAAACACTAACAACTTTTCTGTTAAATTTCCAATGGTGATTGGAATTCCTAGACGCTAGAGCCGTCGGCGCTATCTATGCACTATAGTGGAGGACGGGAGGTGATGATAAACTGATGCTCGATCTCTTTACGTTGCCTCTCACAATTGATGCTTGAACTCCTGAAGACTAGCCTCAATTACTGAGATAATGAGACAAATTATCTGGCTAAGATAGGGTAAAGTACCACCATCTATGAATTAAACTGTCATTATAAAGATGAAAATATAGTTTCAGTATTATTTACTCCTATTTATGGAAACACATTTTATTCTTATTTAGGAAAATCAACTTGTTTTTACTTCTACTTGTACAGAGTCTTGTGAGTTGTAACATTTCACATTTGGCTCTTGCTTTTCAGTAGATATTTATCGTTGAATAAAACTTTACGTCATCATTAGGATTTAGGACCTTAGTTTGTACAATGTTGGGTTTGCTCACATAAAATGCTAAGATAAAAATTAGTCCGCGCCACAAACACTTTCAAAAAACGTAGCAGCAGTTATGCCAGATGCATTCTTGCCACAACTTTATTACGAAGGCACACTGGATGCATGAGGTTGAATGTTGGTATATCCTTTTACAGATATCTCAAGAGATAGTGGTCAACAATTGGATCTACTTATTTTGGATAATCTTTACAAGGTAAGTTTGTAGCCATATTTTGACTTCAAAATAACCTTTTGCATTTGTCCTTGTTTTATAACCTTTTCTTTGCACTGTTCATATTTCTCTGTCAATTTAATTACTGGGTTACTTCTTCAATATCTGCAGAAGGGTTACCACAATGTTCACATGTGCTTTCCTCAGGTTCACATATTTCCTACATCCCTTTGCGCTGTATTTTTTATGCTGTAGAACACTATAAATGCTGACATTGTAATTGGTGCAACATTTTCACTTTCAGACCCTGGAGGCTATTAAAAGACTCTGTCCTAAGAGGGCTTTGTTAATTGGGATGACAGGCGATTTTGATCACCACGAGGACAACGTGTTCCTAATGGAATGGTCTAAAAGGTAAAATTACTTCAAAATTTCTGATTTTCTTCTCATAGGGTTCGAATCTATTTTTCTCTCACTCTTTTACTCAGGTACACACACCTAGGAAATGCTAGGGATGAAATCAATAGATTAGTAAAAGGGAAATTTGGTTGGGAAAAATGTGAAGTTGAAACTTTGTCAGTTTATCGTGTGATTTATTTTCAGGGAAGGAATACCAGTTCAGTTGGCATATGATGGGTTGAGGCTTCCAATAGAACTATAGAAGGAGTATAAGAAAGCCCATTCTCTTTTACTTCTTTCTCCTCTTGATAAGGCTATCAAGCATGAGGTGGTAGCTGCCAAGCATCCTCTTGATAAGGCTATCAAGCATGAGGTGGTAGCTGCCAAGAAAAATGCTATCTATTTTAAAAGAGCTGAAGAGGATTTCTTTAGACAAAAGGCTAAATCTAATCACTTATTCTTAAGTGACCGGGGTACCAAATACTTTCATTCCATTGTTAAAAAGAATGTGGCTAAAAACGCCATTACATCTATTAAATTAGATAATGGGGAGCCCACCACTTCTTTAAACCAGGTTGCTTCTGAGTTTGTTAGATTCTATACCAATCTCTTTGGTACTTCTTATCCTAATGTTGACATTGACCCGAACATTATTCTCTCTGGTACTTGTCTTGATCTTTCAGAAACTTCTGAGCTTATTGCCCCTATTTCTGACACTGAAATTAAGGATGCCATATTTGATATTGGTGATAATAAATCTCCTGGTCCTGATGGCTATACTTCTGCTTTCTTTAAGCATAACTGGAATATTGTTGGTCATGATGTCAGGTTAGCTCTGAGGGGTTTCTTTAACTCTGGTAAACTCCTTAAACAGCTTAATCATACTGTGATTGCTCTCATTGCTAAGACCTCTCATGATCCTACGACGGCTGATTTCAGACCCATTGCATGTACTAATGTCATTTACAAGACCATTATTAAGATCATTGTTGCCCGTATGATCCCTTGCCTTCCTAAGCTTATTGATCCCTCCCAAGGGGCTTTTGTTGATGGGAGACTTATGCTTGATAATGTCTTTTTAGCCCAAGAGCTCCTTAAGGGCTATTCTAGGAAGCATATGTCTCCTAGATCTTTGATCAAGGTGGATCTTAGAAAAGCGTATGATACCATTTTCTGGAGTTTCTTGGAAAAGATTCTTATGGCTATTGGTTTCCCGGAAAGATTTGTGAAGTGGATTATGGAATGTGTGTCTACTTCTTCCTTCTCTATTTCCATTAATGGGATCCTCCATGGGAATTTCAAAGGAAAGAGGGGGTTGCGTCAAGGGGACCCCATGTCCCCTCTCCTTTTTGTTATTTGCCTTGAGTATTTGTCAAGGCTCCTCCATAACAGAACTAATACTACGGCTTTTAAGTTCCACCCTAAGTGTGGCAAACTTAAAATCACTCATGTGGCTTATGCTGACGATCTTATGCTCTTTTCTAAAGGGGATTTCCCCTTTATTAAAGTTCTTATTGATGCCCTGGATGAGTTTGGTAATGTTTCTGGGCTTAAACTCAACTTTGATAAGTCTAGTATCTTCCTTGGTGAGTTGACTGATTATGAGCTTAACTATATCCTCCATATGATTGATTTTAAAGAGGGGTCTTTTCCGGTGAGATACTTGGGCATACCTCTCGCCCATCTTAAGATTTCTGTTGCCCAATATGCTCCCTTGTTGGATTCCATTACCAATTATATTACGGCTTGGAACACAAGAACTCTCTCATATGCCGGGAGAGTTGAGCTTATCAAATCTGTTATTCAAGGTGTCCATTCCTTTTGGTTACAAGCTCTCCCTATTCCTAAGGCGGTACTTGATAGAATCACTTATATCTGCCGTATCTTTCTTTGGGGATGCAAGTGCGCTAGAGTTGCGTGGGCTGATGTTTGCCTCCCTTTGGAGGAAGGAGGTCTTGGTATACATGATACTCATATTTGGAACTCTGCCCTCCTTGCTAAACCCCTTTGGGATATCCATACCAAAAAGGATAACCTTTGGGTCAGATGGATTCATGGGGTCTATCTTAATGGTAGAGGTGTTTGGGAGTTTACACCTCATAAAAGAGACTCCCAATTGATAAAGAAAATTGTTTTGATTAGAGATCAAATTGTTTCCCATTTTGATAACACTCAAGCTGCTATTGATTATCTTGATACTATCCATACTAATGGCAAACTCTCTTCGGCCAAAGTGTATAATCTGCTCAAAATTAAGGGGGAGACTCATATCTGTATGTCCTTCATTTGGAAGAATTATATCCCCCCTAAATTCTCTTTTACGGCTTGGTTAGCCTTCCGGAATAGATTGGCCACTTTTGATAATTTGCATAGGCTTGATGTTGTTAACATCTGCCCTTTTTGTAAGGGTGGTCCGGAAACGGTACCACGCCTATTTTTTGCTTGTCCTTTTGCAGGTAATATAATGTTTGGCATAAAGTAAAGAATTGGCTGGAGCTCCCTAGGGAAATGAGGACTTTGCACAGCTCGTTGAAGTGGATCAAGAAGGAGAGGCAAGGATCGGGAATCAAAGCTAAGACGGCTAGGATTGCTTTTTGCTACTCTATCTACTGGATTTGGAGGACCCGTAATGCTACCTGTTTTGATGGCCTGACTCCAAGAGAAGAAGATGTGTTTGCTAGAATTCAATATATTATCTACAAGATTTTGTATAGCCTCTATCCTTATGAGCTTGTAAAGTTATAAGCTCTTTTTCTTTTTTGACTATCACCTCGACTTGGGGGTGTAGTCTTGGCTGTTTGTTAGGGATGTGCCTTGGTCTGTTTGTTTTGCGCTTCTCCTTCTCCTTGTGGGGTTGGTTTTTCGCGTTTGGCAGGTTGTTTTGCTGCTCTTTTTGGGTTATCCTTGCTTGGATAACCTACATTTTTGTTTCCTTTGTGCTTGTGCATTCTTGAACTTCTTATTTCTTGGGTGCTTCTTTTAATATACTTACAGTTCACCCAAAAAAAATAGAGAGCCACTCTCTATCAAAGTGAGCCTCTATTCCGTAAACATCTCATTTTCATACTAGCATTTCCATCTGCTTATACCTAAAATATATGGCAAATCTATTCTAGCATTGAAGCTTTAGGTGACTTTGACTAATGTATGTTAAACGTGCTTTCAAACAATACTATTTGCTCTTATATCACATTGGTTAGGCTTCATTTTTTAACAAGTAACGTTGTGGTTGCTCGTTTAGTTAAATATCAATTGTATCTCTTGTGTTTTTAGTGAGGTGTAGTCCGTCATGTTTCAAGATTTTTTTGTGCCCCAAGAGTTCAGTTCTAAAATTCAACTTTCATTTTTCTTAAAATTATGGGAAAATTCTCGAAATTGGAGTAAAATGTTAGAATTCCAAAAGAGGACTCCATGTTTCTGTTCCCTCAATATGAGTAATTACTGCCAAGCTTGAAAAATAATGTCATGTTTAAAGTTTGCTACTGTCAAAACATGACAGTAATTACTCATTTACGCAATAAAAACATGATAGTCCTATTTTGGAATATACAAACATTTTAAGCCCTATTTAGGGTAATTTACCTAAAATTATCTAAAGAGTAGTTCTACAAATCAACTTTTCATACAAAGATTTTAAGCTTGACCTTGATTGAGTCGACTAAAAATAATAGTTTTTACCTTACTCAAAATAGTGAAAGAGTAGACTCGATTTCACGCAACTACGCAAGTCCAGATCGACAAGAGGCAGACCAATGTCAAGATAACCCCAAGTTCTTTCTATGGGACAGGAGTATAACACATAAATGGTATACGAAGGAGAAATAGTTATTATACCACACACATGTTTGGGTTTGTATATTAAGACCAACATTATTTTCAGTTGATTTCTTTCAAGTTAAGCTCCAACAAAATCTCATGCTAGCTTGAAGCTACTAATCAGCTAATCTCATTAATAAGATCATATTTTCTTTTATCCCGTGACTAATGGGGGCAGCCGGCAGGAATATGTTGTATGTAGGTTAGCACAGTTAGCAAACCAAGTTGCTTTAACAAATGCTATCATGGCTGTGGAGTTCTTTGTTTTAACAACAACAACAACATCCAAACCTTAATCCCAAAAGAATATGGGGTCGGCTAACATGAATCGAATTATGATATCGATGCCAAAAAGAGAAGACGGACAAGAAAAGGAAAAAAAAGGTAAGATAAAATGAATAAAATAAAGATAAATAAATATAAGATAACAATAACATAAGAATATAACAAAGATAAAAGATAAAAAATAAAAGAGCATAAAAAGCTAGAAGATAAAAATAACATAAGAATATAAAAAGATAAGGAAGATAAACGATAAAAGAAATAAGAGAGGAAAGGTAGACAAGACATCAATCGTCCATACGGATGTGCGTGCTCCACTTTGTTCTCTCCAAAGCCATACTCTCATCCAACCCAAGAAGACGCATATCAATTCTGATTCCTCTAATCCAAGTCTGTTTGGGTCTTACCCTCCCTCTCTTCTCTGACTCTTCTCCCCACACCTCAAGTCTCTAACAGGTCCATCACTCGGTCTTCTACGCACATGTCCAAACCACCGCAAACGAGACTCCTGCATCTTATCTTCTATAGGTGCTACTCCCACCTTTTGTCTGATTACCTCATTCCTCAAGCGGTCTTTTCTAGTATGTCCACACATCCAATGCAACATACGCATCTCTGCCACACTCATCTTTTGAATGTGCTATTGCTTCACCGCCCAACACTATACGCCATACATTAATGTCGGCCTAATTGATGTATGATAAAATTTACCTTTCAGACTAGTCGGCATACCTCGATCGCATAGAAATCCTGAAGCACTCTTCCATTTCATCCACCCAGCTCTGATTCTATGGCATACATCTCCATCTAATTCATCATCCTTCTGAATTATGGATCCCAAGTAACGGAACATATCACACACTGGTATCTCCTTACCATCAAGAGTAATCTCACTGTTGCTACTACTTCTACCTCCACCGAACTTGCACTCCATATACTCAGTCTTGCTTTGGCTCAGTCTGAAACCCTTGCTCTCTAATGTTTGTCACCACACTTCCAACTTTGCTTTAACATCGGATTGTGTCTCATCAACTTCCAAGAAAGAAGGTGGAAATTCCCTACAAGTATAACACATAAATGGTATACGAAGGAGAAATAGTTACTATACCACACACATGTTTGGGTTTGTATACTAAGACCAACATTATTTTCAGTTGATTTCTTTCAAGTTAAGCTCCAACAAAATCCCATGCTAGCTTGAAGCTACTAATCAGCTAATCTCATTAATAAGATCATATTTGCTTTTATCCCGTGAGACCGTGACTAATGGGGGCAGCCGACAGGAATATGTTGTATGTAGGTTAGCACAGTTAGCAAACCAAGTTGCTTTAACAAATGCTATCATGGCTGCGGAGTTCTTTGTTTTGTTTAGAAAATTTATTTTGTGACAGTGATTCAATTGTTCCGTAATAGTATTATTCAGTTCTTTCAAACTAATATCTGAAAAGAAATATTAAAATATTGCATCTATCAACATTTTCTGGAGTGTCATGATTTTAATCTAATACTACTAATTTACAATCTCACAGTTTTGCCAAACGGACCTATAGTCTGCGGGTTAGTTCTTGAGTTAAATGTCAATTACTTGTACAAAGTTATTGGAAGCAAAGTTGCACAAGAATAACATGAACCGACATAAGTCATAACCTCCCCAATCCGATCCTATTCGACCATTTTTAATCGGGAATTTGATTAATAAATATATTCATGGGTTAAATATGTACAAACCCGCACATAATAGGTAGAGTTTTGGAATTAAAATCTCAAATCCGGTTCGGGCGGTCCGGCCTGTCTGGATCGGATTATTCATTCATGAACCATCTTTTGTAAGAAAAGTATGTTATCTCAATACTAATAAAAAGAAAATTACGTATTGTCTAGTGATTCTCAAGGTTTCACAACGTCAATTTGGTTAATTTCTAGTCCGTACTCCGTACTAGACAATTACCATGTATACAAAAAATAGAGTCTTATTTGATAACCCTTTTTTCAACTCAACATTATAATGAACAATTATTAATTAAGCATTGAAATTTTTATCCCACGCGTTGAATTATATAATAATCAAAATAAGGTCAAAGTTATTGAGTTGGCCGCATTTCTTGAAAACAAGAACTTTAAGGGTCTGTTTACTAATAGAGATATTTTCCAGTTTTTCAGGAAACTGGAAAACTGGAAAAAGGAAAACAGAAAACGTGTTTACCAAAAAAATTGTTGGAAAACTGGAGAAAGAAAAACAGAAAATTGTGTTTACCAAATCGTTATTCAAAACCACAAAAATGAGATATATCTATGTTTTCCTTAATGAATTGGAGAAGTGACTTTTACTAGTTTTCTAAATTTGGAAAACGTGTGTGCCGATGTGCCGCTGCAATGAATTTGCATATTTACACCTAGTGTTGGATTAGGTCCCGCTCCAGTGTCAGTTCTAGTTCGATCCGATCAATGACCCGACCGTCCCTATTTGGCCTGCTCAATGACCCGGCGGTCCAGTTTGGTCATTGCCCCGACGATCCATGTTCGGTCCTGTCGACGACCGAGCAATGACGGTCCAGTCTGGTCAACGACCAGACGATCCCGGTTCTGTCGACGACCCAGCTGTCCTGGTCCGGTTCGGTCCATGACCCGGCAGCCCCTGTCCGGTCTGGTCAATGACCCCACGGTCTCTGTTCGATCTGATCCATGACAACGCGGTACTTGTTCAGTCCGATCGACGATCGGGCAGTCCAGGTCCGATCCAGTCTAGTCAACGACTGGGTGGTCCCCGTCCGGTCCGGTCAATGACCCGGTGGTCCCCATCTTGTCCGGTCAACCACTCGGTGGTCCCCGTCCTGTTCGATCAATGACCCATCGGTCCCTATTTTATCTGGAAAATGATTTGACGGTCTGTGTTTGCTCCAATCGACAACCGAGTAGTCTCAGACCAGTCCCGTAAACGACCCGACGGTCCCTGTCTGGGCCGGTCAATGACCCGATAGTTCAGTCTCGGTTTTTCGAAATCATTTTTCAAAGTGAAGAGTTTTAAAAGAACCATTGAGTTGTCAACCAATAGGGAAATGAGAAAAGAATTCATCAAATTAACTGTTGAGATTGGTCGGTTTCGGTCCCGACTTTCCTATACGTGGGACACAGTACCCTACTTGGGTTGTACTAGGTTCGGTTCCGGACTGGGATCGTACTTTCGATCTTTTGGTCGGTCACATAACCGGATGAAAAAATTGTATGAACGTGTTTTCATATTTTAAAATGGAAAACTAAAAAATGAAAACAAAAAATTGGACATCGAAACACTGGAAAATGAAAACAGAAAATTGGAGAATGGAAAACAGAAATAGAAAACTTGAAAATATCTCTGTTAGTAAACATGTTCTAACTTTCTCCCCATATTTTTATTAGTAAATTGTATTGAATATAAAATTTCATTCAGCATATTCGAGCAATTACATTGTTACCAAATGGACTTAAAATATTACAGAAAGATCTCTAATAGTGTGTCCCTTTTTAAGTTTTCGTGCAGATCTACAATAACCCATGAAGTTAAGCTCGCCCATTATTATCTTCTTTTCTCATGAAAAACCATGAAGTTTGGGGGGGCTTGCCCATTGTTGAACGAACAAGGCTTCTCACACTATGAGAGTACATATGTCTTAAGTCTTAACAGCTACTACTTCTATCAAAAAATAAATAGCTACTACTTACTACTATACAAAGTTTTATCTACTTCTTGAATTCAACTGTCATAAAGTATTGTTTTCTCTACAATTCATTATACATTTATACCCGGATAGATCCCTGTTTTTCTCATGTGTTGATATATAATAAATTGAAATATACCTTTTTGCTACATGCTCGTTCTCTCCCTTTATGTGAATCCTGTTGATACCATAAAATGCTCATCCTTACTACTTTTTATAGCTTTCTAAGATATAATCCCAGCTTTTTATGGAGGATTGGGGGCCTCTATTAAATATGACTAGAAGTCTAGAACTGCTTCTATGGAGTTTCGAAATCACAACCTTTCATATGGAAGAGTGAATCGACAATCAGTGAGCTGAAAAAGAAAGGTGTTTACTTAAAATCAAATATCTCTTAAATCCCGTGAATGAGATGCAACGCCAAACAAAGGCAGATCTAGGGGGAACCTAGAGACCCTGACCCACCCCAAATTTAAAAATCGCTTTAATTTTTAAGGTAAAAAATTATGTGCTAAAGTTTTTTCAAAAATGTTTTTTGTACTGGCCCAGTGCGGCCTAGTGCTTAGGTGCCACCCTTTATTCCAAATGTTCCTTTAAACTAAATATTTTGATTCTTAAAAGAATTGGAATCAAGTGAGGGTGCTACGGCTACATGACTAGACAAGGATGACTAGTTTCAACCGTATTTACTTGGTCCAAAAGGTGGAATCTCCCACCCCAGGAGCCTCCATCCCGACCTGACAGGATGGTGGTGAGGTTAATCACGGTGACTCAGTCAGCAAAGCGGCGGTAGGCCTTATACACGTGCGCACCAGAGGTCCAACCTTATTTCAGGTTCTGTAACCTCCACACGGCCGTTGCGGGTTTCGAAGCTTGGTCACTTGGTCCAATTTTCAATCGTATTTACAATTTTGCTTATTTATGCACTTTTATAATCTTTGTTAGTTCGTTTTAAATCGTTTAGAGAAATTCTACTTTTTTCATACCAGGTTAGAAGCATAGAGATCAAAATGATCAAATTAAGTTTCCATTTGTTTCTTATTGGTTAGCGACTTTTGCGGCTCATTTGTGGGGGCGAAGTCTAAGTCTAGTCATTCAACTTTTAATTTGGATTGAAATTATCTTGAATATATTGTAATGATGTTTGATTTATTAATTTTAACCAGTTTTCCATTCATAAAATGGATTGGAAATCACCCTGAGCCGGTGCGCGGTTATATGGCAATTTTTAGGTGCAAGTTGTACTCGCCTTGGGAAATTATCACACACCACCCTTAGGTTTCACGTATTATCACCTAGACCCATGTACTATTAAAAATATACTTTTACCCCCTCCTTATCCTTTAATAACAGTTTAAATAACTCATAATCATGTTTAACAAAATTACAGATTTAATCATGTAAATTTACTCACTTGCATATCTGATATGGTAACGAATAAATTATGATTATACATATTATATATATATATATATATATATATATATATATATATATATATATATTTCACTCTTGGGTATTTCTTTATTCGTTCGACATGAACTAAAAATGAGTTCATAATGATACAATTTTTAACAATATTCTAATACTTATGTTCATAATACTGCCACACAAAGCATATCAACTGCATTCAGCATTGCTATCATTTTCCATTTCCTGGTGAGTCATGAGTGGTGGGTGAACAAAGTTCAAAACTCAATTTGTCAACTTTTCTTTACCCTAAAAAAATTTGTCACTTTTTCATTAAAGTAACTAATTTGTAGTTCTTTTCATTCTTTTCTCCTCCGCACAAACGTCAATCACACATTTTTTTACTTTTCTTATTTCTCACCTAATTATCAAATGTGTGCAAAATTCATTGGAACGGAGGTAATAATACTTTTAACTAGAAGATATTGATGCTTTTTATAAGAAAAAAATCAAATATGGCTATATATATTACGTACTGCGTAAGTCATTAAGTAGTCTAAGTGGGTGTTTGGAAGAGTAAAAATGGGCTGATCAGACTGAAAATTCATAAAAATAACCAAACACCACTTCATTTGGCTGCTTTGGCTGCTTTCTATTATCAGCCAAAAAAGTAGCTTGGGGTCACTTTTTGAGCTGATTTTTTATTTTTAGTACCGTTAAATGTTAAGAGACGGAGGTATCCTTATCTACTTGGCGAAATGTCTTCCTCGGCTCCAAGTCTCCAACTAATTTTTGCAATTTCTTCATCTATTCTTCATTTTTGCAATTTCTTCTCCCTATCCTCCAACTAATTTTGTAAGCTAGCAGAGCATATCTCTTTCGTCGTTTGTGAAATTCAAGCTATACATTTGATTAGCTAAACCTTTCTTGTATTAGGATCTGGTTTGTACCTTTGATTTTGAACATAAAATGGGTAAGGAAAAGAATTTTTGGTTGTGGCTTTCTGGGTATGAAAAGATTTTTTTGTGCTTTATTTCCCACCAGAGTGATTTTGCGTTTATGATTTTTATTCTCGCTCTTCCTTTGATATGTGTTGTTGTTGGTAATCTAGAGTATTGTAGTACCAAAAAAAGAATACCCTTTATAGTAATTACACATTCAATCAGCCAATTCAGCCAATATTTTACCAAACACTTTTACTTCAGAATTTCAGTCTTTTCAGTCTTTTCAGCCATTGCAACCATTACCAAACAGGGCCGAATTAAATTGCTTCCATGCAGCAAAGAGAAAAGAAACGTGAATGTTTTTCTAAATGGAAATTGCCTAAAATAGGAGCAAATGACATTTGGAATTCCAAAAATAGGACTAGTATATTTTTCTTCCCGAAATAGGAGTTATTACTGTCATGTATGAAAAATACTGCCATGATTGAAAAATACTGTCATTAATTGTAATGAATACTGTCACGTTAAATGCACTGTACTACAACTATTTGACAGTCACGTCTACAAGATAACAGTAAATAGTGTCATGTTAGTCTCATTTCGGGAATAAAAATAAAGTAGTCCTATTTTGAAATTTCAAACTTGATTTACTCTTATTTTGGAAAATCTCTCTTTTCTAAAGTCAATCTCGGTAAACTTAGTACACCACAGAATTCGATTGTGAAAAACAAGTTATTCGTTACACCAATAACAACATCCAAAATTTATTCCTAAAAAGTTTTGGGATTAACTAAAATGAATCGATTGAACAACAAAAACATGTTCATTATTCAAACAAAATCATAATTATGTTTGGTAACTCATATATTTGACTTATATGAACCTTATCGATTCACTTCACTTTCTTAGTGAACATGTAACTTTTGATTTATCGGATTGTGATGGAGTTATATTTATGACTGATTTGGTTCAAATCGTTGAAGATGACAATTCAATTTTGAGATTTTGTTGGAGATCCTTCTTAGGACAGACTATTTTTTTATTAATAAAATACTCCGTACATGTTAAATATATGGGAGATTTATCTAAATAGGAGTAAATTAAAGGATAATTGCAACAATAGGAGTTTAAAGTTTAAATTCCCAAAATAGGACTAACTCTTCCTATTCTACCCTTTCATTTGTCCTTGATAATAAGGATTTTTAAACAATCATCATAAAATATAAAAAATCAAAATAAAAAAATAAAAATCGTATAAAATAATTAAAATATATATAGACCCCAACCACCACCTCAGCTACCTTCCAGCACCGCCACCTCCGGTCGCCGAAAAAAATTGCCAAGTTGGAGAAAAAATGTCATCATGATGGCAATTTGGAAGACAAAGCAAGAGAAAGCTGGATATTTTCAAAGATAAAAATGTCATCTTTATGGCATTTTCAGAGAAATGTTTCATTTTTTACACAAGATGTCATTTTTTCCGGCGACCGGAGTGGTGGTGCTGGGTGGTAGAGGACGCGTTGGCAGTGACCTACATATTTTTTAATTTTTTTTAGGTATTTTATTTTATTTTTTGGACTTTTTAAAAAAAAATAAAAAAAATTATTTATTATATTTTATTTTTTATATTACTTTTTCACATTTTCATTATTATTTTTTAAATATTTTATTATTTTTTATATTTTTGTTATAAATAAAACTATGATTTTTTTGTTAATAAAATAAATCTATTGGAAATGATAGGAAGAGGGTAGAATGGAAAGAAGAGACATATATTGGTTCTATTTTGGGAATAAAAAGATTGTACTCCTATTGTTGAATTTTGGACTTATTTTACTCCTACTAAGGACTAATACCCGTAAATATATACAGTGTTTTCAAAATTAAGCAGGTTCAACCAATTCAACCGTTTCAGTTAGAAGTTTATCAATTTCAACGGATTTAAAAAGGAAACTGCGTATTATATATAGTTTCATAAAAAGATACCTCTCTCTATTTTTCTTGATCAACACAATTTCATTTTATTTACCGTACTTGTTTAGCATATCAATTTTTTTAATTCTACGTCAAAGTCAAAGTGTAGGGATCTAGAAACATCCAACTCGTCTGGACTCCAACTTTGAATGGAAAAGCAACTTCAATCATTCGCCGGAATTGATCAATTGGTCAAACTTATAATCGAAATGTGATTAAATTCCTCAATATAATAGTACTGTTAAGGACTGGTATTTAATTTGGACAAATTAATAAGAAGCTATATAGATCGGTCATCAGAAGAGTTGAAGATCGAAGGTAGAAGGGAAATGGGAGGAGAAAGGGCGGCATGCTTTATACCATTCAATGAGAGAAACTTGGATCTGAGCTTCTTCATATTGAGGCCAACCATAGTAATGGTGGATCGTCTCCTCGCCGCTCTCGAGCAATTCTCATCCTCCGCCCACTCCCTTGGTTGCATTCACAGCTCTGTTTTCAAGAGCATCCATGGCAATCTGGTACCACTCTACACCAGCTACCTAGTAGCTAAACCTATTTATGTACTTGTCTCAATTTAATAGTATGTATTAAATACTTTTCTCAATTTAATAGTGGTCGAACTCCGCGCAACGCTAACTGTGCTAGGCGCACCTTATTTTTTCATTTAGTGGACACATATGCCCTCTTTCGTAGGGAAAAAGAATATACTTAGTACTCCGTATTTCAAATTTCTAAATAATGCTCCGTTTAGTCGTATACTGGTATGGACACATATGCCCTCTTTTTGTTTGCTTTTAAAATAAAAATAGGTTTACGTTAAAAAAAATACTCGTAGGTTTTAAAACTTCTTTAATTTCCATTCAAAAAAAATCCCTAAGTTTTGTGTAACATTGTTCTAAAAAATAAATCTTTAAAACTATTCAATTCCTAACATGCAATTCTATATACGAGTTTTTGCTACTTTCATATTTAGTCGTTGACTATTGTACTAGATACACATTTAATTCTTGATTTCAAAGTTTCTCGCATTTAATCTTCTGAGTACTTATTGATCAAAAGGCGTTTTAAAAAACAAAAATAAGTTGGGTCGAGAACAAATTTAGCCAGGCCGTCTAGCCACCGCCTAGCCCGTCTAGGTGGTCGACTGATTTTTCTCAGTCGATTACCACGGAATCGGGGCGCCCGACCACCTCGTATTGACTAGGCGGACGCCTAGACCGATTTTTAGAACCATGTTTTTTATACTTTAGCTAGTAATTTAAATTGTACTACGTAACTTTAGTGATGATAACGTTCAAATTTACATTGTAGTGACTATGGTCATAAAATTAAGTCACATTTTTATTCATAGTAATATTTAAGGAAAAATCAATTAAGGTAAGCATCTACTCGTAATAAAAAAGAATGTTTTTTAAAATTATACAAATGCAATATATGTGTCACAGGCCATAAAAAATAATCAATTTGATATACTTTTGTTAATATTGGAAATCAAATTAAAATATTATATCCTCTCCCTCCAAATTTAAAAGTTCTCTACACTTTTCTTTTTGGGCTGTATTTAACCCTTTCATTTTTGGTAAGTTAACCCTTTATAAAATACTCAACTACCCTTACTTTATCTACTTTTTATCTTCTCTTTCATACTTTACACACTCTCTTCATTTTTTTACACTAATCATTACCCCTATTATTCTATCCTAAAATATTGTACCCAAAGCTAGTGTAGAGATCATTTAAATACAAAGGAAGTAGCATTTTATAAAAAATAATTGCTCATCACATTTTAATAAATACAGAATATGTTATTTGGATCAATTTTGAGTCATCAAATGAAATAAGTAGAAGTGGCGGTGCGTAGTAATGGAGTTTGTTCCTGATCTTAAGAAATCAGTTATACGGTGTTAAAAGTTAGCAATATCGGGGGAAATATATTGTGTTCCTAATCTCAAGTATACCGTAGTTAGCAATATACGCCTATACGGTGTTAAAAGTTATTAGAATCAATTTATACGTAATAGCTTCTCATGTTAAAAGTTAGGGGGCAAAATAGTCAACCTAGGGTTACGTTTAGCAATGTTGGGGGTGCGCAAAGCAACCCCCATTTAATAGTCTCATTTCTTTTGAGCACAAGTTTTAATAAAGTGATTAAAAAGGTAAAAGTTGATATCGAGATTTGAATATAATAAAGTGAAATGATATGGACCACATCTTTCTTTTCAAAAAGGGAAACAGGATCATCATTTTGGGACATCCCAAAAAAGAAATAGAGGATCATCGTTTTGGGACGGAGGGAGCAATTGTTATATTTTAACCCATTTTCATCTTCTCTTGATCATGCCCTTTAATATGGATCGAGATTCTCTGCCTTACGGCTCAAATGGTCACACACCCTCCTTAGACATACTACTACGTAGTACGTACTTACCCAAACTTGGAATAGTTCAAAGTTTTATATAGGGAAAAGGGGTAAATAAGTCATCGATCTAATCGAAAAATTGCAAATTACTCCTTTTATAGGAGTTTCTGTTCGGCCGTCATCATTTGGGGCGGTTACCGGTGGAATTTGTTGATAATTTTTTTTGAGCATCTTCTTCATTAAGTCTAGTTTACCCATACCAAATTTCAGCTAAAAATGCAATCGGGAAGACAGCCAAATAAATGTTTGAAGATAACTCCGCAGTTAAACAGCGCAGTACAGAAAATCATTTAAATGCCTTCTCGGTTGAGATTTTAGCTGAAATTTAGTATGGATAAAACTGTATAACTTAGCCAATTGGATTATACGCAACCGATTTGAAACGATTTAATACTCTCTTCATCTCATAAAACGATTTAATAAATTTTTAGTTATTATATTTGTCAGAATTTTATAACTATTATACTTTTAACAAAGTACATATAACAAAAAACATTTTCATTTAATTTTTCATATTTAAAGTAATTCTATAGTATTAAAAATGTCATTGGTCTAACTTGACCATCATTGATCTGAAAAAATCAATATGTTTGGGAGGTGTACATGCACAATGTAATACCACAAATATGAAATTGATTCTTTTTGTTGCGGTAAAACTTGATAACCGAATTATTTTCTAAAAGTATTACGCCATAAATATATGAGATTCATAACTATGTACCACATTGACCAAAAAAAACTATGTACCACATTTGATTTTATTTGTTGCAATAATTTGATTTTTGTACTTCAATCATGTCTTTTACCTTGGTCCAAAAGGTTGAATGCCTAACCCCAAGGCCCCCACCCCGACCCGATAAGATGGTGGGGAGGTTAATCACGGTGACTCAGTCAGCAAAGCGGTGGTAGGCCTTATACACGTGCGCACCAGAGGTCCAGCCTTATTTCTGATTTTGTAACCTCCACACGGCCGCTGCGGGTTTCGAACCTTGGTCACTTGGGCCAATTTTCCCACCACTCGACCAACTGAGCTACCCGTGCGGGTATAATCATGCCTTTTACCCTTACTACGTACTCTGTATATCATTGCCAAAGACCTCAATGACTCAACGTGATATTCTCTTGGTACAAATCTCTCTTACAGCTTCGAATGAGAAAGTGTTTTTAAGTCTTTACAATAGAGTTAGGAATTACGATGTTTTTACTTGATTTCATTCTCATACCGGATCAAATCAGAAAATTCTAATCCAATTAAAAGCATAGTCGTTTGCTTGTTGGATTTAATTATACATATCACTTGTTCTTATTTGTGTAGATTGTATGGTATGGAGCATGGATAAAGAGACCATATAAAAATGGTAGAGAATTACTAAATGCTTCTCTTGTAAGTTTGTCCTCTCATCTATTCACATTTGTTCCGAATCGAACCAATAAACCGAACTGAAAATGATATGCCACCCCTAATACATTTGATTGTATGATATTGGTATTGAAATAAGGATCATAATTTGACAAAGATCATAAATAAATTAAATATTGTCGTGTTCATATTTTAAAAACAGTCTATGTTTTATTAATATCCAGGTATATTAATAATCCTAATTATTAGGTATTGATGTACACATTAGGAGGAAAGGTGTCACACTATACCAACTTTGTGGGAAGTTGGAACTTGGAAATGTATCTTTCTATTGTTGTCCTTGTACATAATTAATAAGAATTGAAGATTCCTTTCATGTATTACTGTGTGGGTGTTTGTATAGACTTCTTAACACTGCTTCCCCTCTTTCACAGAGCAAAATCATATATAGGAGTGTTTGAATGAAAGTGTAGAAGTATTTCTGTGTGCACCAAATTGCTCCTAGAAATAATTTTTTAGAAGTTGAGAGAGATCGGTTTCTGAAAAAGAGATTTTGATCCCACTTCTGCTTTACAAGAGAAGTACAAATAGAATTAATTCCAAACATCCTCTACATACTTATAAATGTCAACATATGACAATATTGGCCTATACTACCCTCGAGATGTAGCTAGGAGGCATCCTAGGTCACGTTCCATCTCAAATTTTAATTTCAATTTTTTTAACTCGTGTAAACAAATTCAAAAAAGATAGTTGTACCGGCCCAACTCAATTAACTCAATTAAACACAAAGAATATATTTATATGCTCTGAATGGTTTCTTTCAAAAGAATAGTATATGAACATATCCCATACATTATCAGCTTTCAAGGCTAAGAAACGACGTATCAAGCATGGCCATACTCCTAGAGCACGGATTCTATGACGCCTACGCCGGAGAAGCAAGAGACGGCACCCTAGCAGCAAAATTCTTCACCGGGGACACCATCTCCCTGCATGCGATCTCCTTCTCAACATGCATCAAAGAAGATAATACAAACATAATAATGAGTGATTTCTCCTATGCATGTTTGGCCATATTTAAAGACAGGTTCGATTATTCAACACATCTTAAGAGTTCTCATCACAAATATGAGGTCGTTTGGTAACACTGTTTCTCGGTGTATCAGGCTTATCAATCAATTTTTTCACCAAACACGTAACTTTTTGTTTTCGCACGCTAAATTGTGTAATAATAAGAAATGGTAAGATTGAAGTTACTTCTCAGACCGTATTGATTGAAGTTACTGTATGTGACCATTTTAATTATTTTTACATATTTTTTTATTAATAAAATGTATTTTAAAAATAATTGTTTCCTAATAAGCAGAATCAATCAATGCAGCCACTTCAGCCAGAACTTCATAAATTTCAGCAGAATAAGCTGAATCAGTCGATTTTTGTGATACCAAACGGACTCTATGTGAGATAAATATTTACATGCTCAGCTAAGTGGTTTTAGGAAATTTGAAAATTCCCAAGTGAGTTTAAAGGATATTCCTTCCATTCTATACTTCTATTTTAAGATTGTGTGCGCACTTTGTGATGGTCAATCAAGTCAAGAAAACTTTACCGTACCCTCAAGGTATTGTAGCTCTTACATGTGGACCAATGAATTAATTAAAATATTACAATTAGGAATTTAAATGTAAACAAATGATGAAATAGTCACTTGGACCAATGGAATGATATACTACCTCCATCCCAAAAAAATTTGTCAATTTCAAAACTTTGACCAATTATATCTTTTTATTGGAAACTATTTATAATATAAAAATTATATGAAAATGTTCTTTGTTAAAAGTACTCTCATAAAAGTATAAAATTTGTAACTTTAATAATATTATACTAATCAAAATCATGGTACAAATTTTTTGAAATGACGAAGTTTTTTTGGGACGGAGATAGTATATGATACCTTCACTTATGTAGGTGTTCTATTGAATCACAAAAATCAAATTTGAAAATGTTTAAAACTTATTATTTAAAGCTAGCTTTCTTAGCTTTTAAAAGCGATAAATTGTGTCAAAAAATTTAAATTGAGATAGAGGTAGTACTAGTGATATATTTTCTGTAACAGGACCAACTCTGTTTTATTCTCAAGACTCGTTCAATTCTACAATATTACGGAGTAATATTTAACTAGATTAGTACTCTTTTTAAGTAAAAACAAGAATACTCATATACTCATGCTTTACTCCTATTTAAGGCAACTTATTTATTAAATTGTGGTTAATTACACAGGTTCATAAAAATGGAAGGAGCCAAAGCAGGGGCTTGCCTCAAGTCCGCTAGGTTATCCAAGGTTTGTGCAGTGTTTGTTTGGAGGTCTTTGCAGAGCTGCTATTCCTACATCCTCAGTGAAGATTATAGGAGTATTTTGCCTTATTACCTTGATGGGTTGTCGATTGACATTAAGTATGATATCTTCAGGGTTGTGTTTGTAAGTGATGATAATAGTAGTGCATTGAACAATCAATTTTTCCTGGCTTCACGTTTGATGTTACAGAGAAAGGCAATGGATAAGGTTGTTCCAGATTCCAACAAGATTACAGACTATGATGTATAAACTGTATAAAATGTTTTGTTGTGGTAATTAACCAACAGTAGAGATAATAAGTTTTGTACAGGGACTTTGTACGTAGTATAAGTTTTGTTAAGGAGAAACATGTTCTAGAGATAATAATGTGTACAGGGACTTTGGAATGCAAGTCCTACCTACCTAGGAAATGTTAGTTTAAACCATGACAGCATGCATATGTGAATCAACATGCAAACATATAATTATATTGTTTGACTTTATTGTTAATGTCTTGTGTGTGCTTTGAAACTCACCATTTGAACTGAAAATTTATAAGTTTGGTCTCATCTCATACTCACAAAAGTAAATTTGAACCGCTCAACCAAACTATTAGATTTTCACTGTATCTTTCACCACCATCCACAAGTACTGAAAGATGAGAGTAGTCACCCTAGATGGTGGAAATTTGGAGTCTAACCATGCAATTAACTTGTAAAAAAATTAATTAGAACTATACATTGTACATGAAAAGTAATACATACGTCTCATTCAAAGGTTCCAAACCACTATTCACATTGTCCAGGACCACAAGAAGTCGTTCTAATTAAATTGATTGATTGCGCGTACATGTCATCGGTTTCTCAGTGCAGCTCTAGGAGAACTTCACTAACAGGTCAAACATCATTAGATCCCAGCAAAAATCTAACTACCACATTGTCGCTTGATATGAGATGAAGCACTGGCACAGTCACTCAAACAAACTCTGAGGATTAAAGAATTATTTGAGAAATGTTTTCCAAATTCATCTCTTTACTCATCATGAACGTTTGGTGATATATATATATATATATATATATATATATATATATATATATATATATATATATATATATATATATATATATATATATATATATATATATATATATATATATATATAATAGAGATCAAATACAAATCATCCTTAATTTACAAAGTACAAACTTATCTTGGCCATCCGATGAGTTGATCTAAAGGATATAAATGCAAGGTAGCATTTTTGTAATAAAACCTAATTTTTCTAGGGTGCAACTCATTGAACATAAATGTGCAAGTGCTATTTTATGACTATATAATATGCAACACTTTGAACCTCAATATGCAATGCAAATAACGTCAAGGTGCATCGTACAAACATTTGCACAATAAGCACACTTTGTACTTGATTCTTCCCATATATATATATATATATATATATATATATATATATATATATATATATATATATATATATATATATGTGTGTGTGTGTGTGTGTGTGTGTGTGTGTGTGTGTGTGTGTGTGTGTGTGCAGCGGCGGAACTAGGGGGCGAGCCGGTGCCGGCGCTCCCCCATTCTCCGGCGGCGGTTTTGTATATATATATATATATATATATATATATATATATATATATATATATATGTGTGTGTGTGTGTGTGTGTGTGTGTGTGTGTGTGTATGTATATCTCAGCCCCGGTTCAGAAAGTAGTTATATATTAAAGCAAAGTCGCTATTTGTATGAATAAGTTGTGATAGTTCAAATGGTGGGGGGAGGTTGGGAGAGCTCTACTTTCCAAAATGGCTCGGGCTCGGACTCCAGTATTGCTTCTTTAGCCAATATTATAATTATTTATGTTCAATTAAATCACTCTAGGATATAATGTTGTTTAAATCAGACTTTTTGAATTTCCATATCTTTTATTTTAGATTCTCATTTCTTCAATTCAAATTATTTTTTATCATTTCTTCTTCTAATAATGACATATACGGACGTTGTCATTTAATTTAATGTCAAGAATAATTCTAAAACTACTTTAAGTTTTTTTGATCATCTAAAACTACTTTAAGTTAATATATCTTGTGCATTTTTAAGCATTTTTATTTCAAACACACTACATATACATATATATGGAGCATAAGTTTTGGATCAAATAAAAAGAATTCTTATCATGAAAATTGATCGAAAACAAAGCTTGTGCATTTAACTTTAGATCCGATGACTCAAAATCAGCCAACAATAAGCTATATTTTATCAAAAACTCGATGACAATTTGATAAATACATCAAAATTTTCTCTCATTGCGAAAAAGTGTAAAATAAATATCTACTAGTATACCAAAACGAGTAAAAAGTGTGCCCGTTCTCATTTTTCACGGGAATAACTCTTTTCATTAGAACATCACTCTATATGTATCTAATAATTGTTTTTTAAAAAAAATATAAGAGCACCTCCTCAAATTATTGTCTGGTTCCGTCAGTGTGTATACTTAATTTTCATTTATTCTAACGTTGAATTATAAAATTTCAATCATTCGTGGCTCACATAAGGACTCCAACATAAAAAACTGCACATTAAAAGTTAATGTCTCAACTTTAATTAATTTAAAGTAAAAATCAGATAAGGAGATGCAAAATAATCTTTAGAGTTCTTGACAAAATTTTGCATTTTGTGTATTGACACCTGCATGGCTGCAAAGGATCGGGCTTACGATTTCACTTTTCATATGGGCATGATAAGACTCACTTCCAATTTCTTTTAGAGATGATTCCCTCAAAAAGAGGAAACATGCTGGAAATGCGAAAATAAGGGTGAACATTTAAAATTCCCTAAAAAGCTGTGATGAAGCATACAATGATACTCCCTCCGTCCCGTTGGAATGTTCCCGGTTTGACCTACACACATATTAAGGAAATAAACTTATCAGGGGGTAAATTTTACTGTTTTGACACTGTTTGGCACTGTTTCGACACTGTTTGACACTGTTTTGCACTGTTTGACCCTGTTTTGATGTAGGATAACTTTCCATTTAGGGAAATGGGAACTTTCCAATGTGACATCCAAAAAATGAAAGCGGGAACATTCCAACGGGACGGAGGGAGTACAATTTACCCGGTAGGCCGAGACCGTGCGCTGAGGCCGATGTCTCATTGCCAACTAAGCTCTGCACTGTCGATAGAGGTGGCCAAAAATACCGAAAAATCGGTATACCGCACTTATCGTACTGAAAAATACTGGAAAATACCGGAATATTAATATACCGTCATTTTCGATACGGTATGATAATGTACCAATTTATTTCGGTACGGTAACGGTAATTGTTTTCAAATACCACGGTGTACCGGTATAATACTGTACTGGCTTCATACCGGAGTAAAATATTTTAAAAGTCCATTACAATTTTGAAGCCCAAAATTAATACTTAGGTTGGGTGCACATACTAAAATAAAAAAAAAGACCCAACTCCCCAAACCCGCTATAAGCTTTTAGCTTAGGTTTCTACTATGTAACTTTCAAACAAATAAGCACAATACTTAATGAGTAATGTACATACTAATGTCCAGAAACTAGTCTATCTTGTTCCATGAGCTTCTGAGTCGTGATGGCTGAGCCGCTGAGTAGCTGACGAGTGAAGAGGGATACACTTATGTGAGGAATGTATCTACATAGGGATCTACTTAGTCGAGGCACACAAATTTGTCTGGAAGTCTATTTCAAATATTTTTTAAAATTAAAAAATAACTAAATACACAATATCATACTATTATTAGGGATAGATGATTTTGTATCTATGTTGTTTGAATACTTTTATTTATTTTTATATTCATTTAATTATATCTATATTGTTCAAGTTATTTTATGAGAATGTGTTATTTTTTAATATGTGACATGTTGAACTGCTTAAATATACTAATAATAATTATTGTTCAATATTGAATATTACATCAATAGATTATTAATTGCATTTTGTAACTGATGGAGTATATGGACCCCGACCCCCCGGCCTGCCGACTACTGGGCCTGGACAGCGGCCCACACACGTTTAGTGGATTCATATTGTTGTACATTATTATTTAGATGTTCTAGATTAGCTTTTCATATTATAAGTCCATTTATGTAACCGGGTCTGTCAAGCCCGTATTAGAGGCCCAGACCCGGATTTCCCTATATATACTCCTTATAGGAGGCTTGTAAAGAACACACACAAACTCATATTCATACACAATACTACTTCTTCTCCTTCTTTCCTTTTCAATCTCTCTTTTTCACATAATATGGGTATCAATTATCCAACAATGGTGCTCTCGTTGAGAGGGTTGAACACATCAAGTAAGAAAACCTCCCAAAAACAACCCAAAAAAAAAAATCATCCCAATCACAAAAAATTTCAGCAAAAACTACTCTGGAAAATAAAAAAGAGTCCTGAAAAAATGGAATCAGCGGTCTGGGGATCGAAGCAACGAGAACCACCCACAGCCGTACGCTAGGCTCCGGATCTCGTTGACAAACCTCGTCACTGCCTGGAGCTCACCCGTCGCCGCATCTGTAGACGTCGCCATCAGCAAAGCCAGAGTTGTGGCCTCCGTCATCCGTCGCTAAGACATCAACATCCAGTTCGCATCGCCGTACTGGACTGCTTGAGGAGCCGGCTTGGCTCGTTTCGGTGGTCGAACGGAGGGCTCGTTCCTGAGATCCGGCCTCGCCAAAAAGCGACCCGAACAGCAGCGGTCCCGATGAACCCTCATCCACTCTCCGGCGAGAACAGTGATGAGTAGCGATGGTACTTCCAAATCAGCTACGGGCCCACTGGTTTTCATCTCTGGAACTCTGAGGATGGAGGTTTGCACCTCAGGGCCAACCCAGCGGCAGCCGGCGAACGGTCTCACCACCCCCTCTGTAACAGCGTCGCCCACTGGTCCTCCTGATACCTACTTCGCCGATTCGCAGCTCCCAGCTCATTCTGGCACCCACAACATCGTCGGACACCTCGTGCCCTGTGAGCTTCCGCCACTAATGGCAGCCTGTGAGCTCTCCGGTCGCGACCCAGAAGGCAGCAACATCCAGGAATTCTTCTCCCTCTTTGACAAAGACCATGACCGGAGGTACCCTCCTTTCCACCAATCGGGCCGATTTGGGCTCTCTCTCGCCTCCACTTCCGGAAGCAGCATCGACGCGGTGCATCTCCCCTGCACTTCGCACGCAGTCGAGCCAGCAGAGGGGTGACCCTCCTTCCTCTAGACCTAACGCCAACTACGGGAAATAAAAGCAGCCCACATGTTTAAGGGGCCTCCTAGAGCAGACTGTTAGCTATGAGATCCAGCTAGGAAACATGGGCCAAGATAGGGCAGCAGTGGGCCATGCCACACATGACCTTGCTAGAACTTAGTTAAAAAAAAACCTCAGCTTGTAGATGGGAGGAGGGCAGAAGCTTTGTAGCATTGTTGCCTACGTGGGCTAGGATTGTGTGGGGCCAAAAATTGAGCCTCAAATCTGTGGATATGGGCTAAGGCTTCTACAATTTAAAACGGGCCCAAGGAGTTCTAGTGGATGCTATTCATTCCAGCTCACATTTTTCAGTCCTCTTAAAACAGATAAGTACTCTTTAATTCTCATATTATTTATATTTATTTAAATCATCTTTTTATCGGACGAATGTTCAAACTATCACACAATTATGATCAAATGCCTAGTAGACTGAAACTTGAGACCCATCACTGGGATTTAAAGTCCTGACTCCTCAGGCACAAAGTCCTGACTCCTCAGGCACAAAGCCCCGACTCCTCAGGCACAAAGCCCCTACTCTCAGGCACGAAGACCGGTCTTAGTCATTCCAAGAGTGGCGACCGTTGCACACGAATGGCTCACACCTCCACTCTACTAAGTATTTTATCATTACATCAATAATTCACATTTCCACTTTTTTCAAGTAACGAACTCTCGATCGGAAACATAAACCCCAAGAAAAAAAATTATATGCATGTTAAATGTGTAGGTACGAAGATGACTTTACTCATTTTTCACCTTGTCTCCACTCGCCTCAAGGAGTGGGGGACTGGGGGACTGAGAGGTCAGATTTTCTGGATGAGCAGCAAAGATCACGCATGAGCAGGAACGAGAGCTAAGTAACAGGTTGGACTAGAGTGATTATGCCGGAAGGGGCTTACCTTCCTTGTTTCATGTTGGGGGCGTTAGGTGTACTCTTTTTCCCTTTATTAGGATTTTTTCCCACTGGGTTTTTTCCTAGTAAAGGTTTTTAACGAGGCACCTCCCCATCATGAACAAGGGTGGTGGTCCCCGGCCGAAGAGGAAGAAATCAAAGACAGAAGAATGTTGCAGATACAGTTTGGACTACTCCCTTTCGCCTTGAGAACTCTCGACTCAGGGAGTGGGGGACTCCTGATGGAGTATATGGACCCCGACCCCCCGGCCTGCCGACTACTGGGCCTGGACAGCGGCCCACACACGTTTAGTGGATTCATATTGTTGTACATTATTATTTAGATGTTCTAGATTAGCTTTTCATACTATAAGTCCATTTATGTAACCGGGTCTGTCAGGCCCGTATTAGAGGCCCAGACCCGGATTTCCCTATATATACTCCTTATAGGAGGCTTGTAAAGAACACACACAAACTCATATTCATACACAATACTACTTCTTCTCCTTCTTTCCTGTTCAATCATAAAATGGCACCAAAATTCGAAGGCCCCTACATCATAGCAGCCATCATCAAACCCGGGACCTACAAGCTCAAACGCCCCAATGGGAAAGAAGTCCCTAGGCACTGGAATGTACACCATTTAGTTAAATTTTATCAATAATGTAAGAGCGGCCAAGCCCTCATAACTAGTGAATGTACTATCCTATGGCCCAAGGCCTCCAATTTCGAAGAATGAAGATACATTCAAGACATCAAGCCCTCATACTGACTACAGGCCCCAGGCCTCACCACGAGAAGAACCCTCTCCGGCACCAAATGCCGAGGGCGGACACCATCAACACCTACAACAAACAGCAAAAACACCACGTGTTTTCAGTCAAGACCCCTCGGCACCCGGTGCCGAGGGAGGGAACTCCTATCACCAACAACAGGGAACGCCATGTGTTTCATTTCCCTTCGGCACCCAGTGCCGAGGGTACGTCCCCACCTTCAAACTCAAAAAAGAAAAGATGAGAACACCAAGTGTTCCTACAGAAGACCCTTCGGCACCCAGTGCCGAGGGTACACCTCCATCATCAAACATCGAAACGAAGGAAAAACACCAAAATGTTTCAAAGAAGACCCCTCGGCACCCAGTGCCAGTGATATGCTCTCCTATCAACTTCCAAACATCTGTTGGGAAACACCAAGTGTTTCATTTGAAGACCCTTCGGTACCAAGTACCGAGGGTAGACACCTACATCAACTACGACAAAAGAGAACACCAAGTGTTCCTACAGGAGCCCCTCGGTACCAAGTACCGGGGGCTACACATCGAAACTAACACCAAGTGTTGTTTCTAAAAGCCGTACCCCACGAGGACGCATATACCGAAGGCGCCACCATCGGTGCCGGCGGCACGTAGTGCCCCCGGCCATTTGCAACTAGTGTACAAATGAAAACCCTTCCTTGAAACACTTTCCGCGTCACTACCCCCAGGGTATGACAGGCATGAGAAATGCCCAGGATTCGACTTTCAAAAACGGAACGCTATCCGCGTCACTACCCCCAGGGTATGACAGGCATGAGAAATGCCCAGGATTCGACTTCCAAACCGAAACGCTCCCCGCGCCACCACCCCAAGGGTGTGGCAGGCCACGGACTATGTCTAGCGCCGAGGGGACGACTTTCAAAAATGAGGCGCTTTCCACGCCATCCCCCAAAGGGAGGCAGGTTACGGACCACCATATCTTGTGCCCAGGAAACGTCCCTCGATCCCCTCGGAACTCGGAAGGTTAACCCGAGGGAGGAGAGCCATTGGTGTATTCTGATGGTCTCCTAATAGGCCCAGCCTTACCAAGAAACCAAGTTTCTTGATGCCTTCCCTTCACCACCAACCAAAAAAAAAAGAGAGAGAGGGGGTGAAGGGGAGTAGACTCAGCGAGAAATCAAAGAGTACACTCCAACAGACCACAACAAGCTGAGGGCTCCCCACGAGAACACCTCCGGTAACTGAAGGCTCCTATTTCCCGAAGGATACTACTCAAACAAATATCATCAGGAAACGGCTAAGTCCACTGCCTGGTCACCTCCGGTCACACAGGCACCGAAGGCTCCAGCAAGGGTCGAAATCTACACCTTCTAAAAATGAAGCCGAGGGCACACACTCATCGTTGGCATTCTACACAACAACAGGATTCCACACATATTTGGCCCTCGGCCAGAGACTCATACAACACAAGGGATCTACATCCGGAAGCTCAACACCAATTTGCGCTTAGAAAATATTCTAAGTCCTAAATTAGAAGCCCCCAGGCATCTCGCAAAGTAATGCAGAGTCAGATGGCACCTATCACCCGAAGGCTACACAAAGAAACAACACTTGAAAAAATTCCAAGTCCTAGAATTGGGCCCCCGGCTCAATCAACATTACAGACAGGGGAATACAATAGCCGAAGGCTATGCGATACAACAACACTTGCAAACAAAAAAAAAATTCTATGTCCTAAAGATGGGCCCCCGGCTCAGTCAGTATTGCATCTAGAGGAATATGACAATCGAAGGCCATACTTCAAGAAGGGACGCCATCTCCCGAAGGCTCCCAAGGGAAAATCCACACTTAGAATATTTTCTAAGTCCTACATGCTTTTCCCTGGTCAACTACTCATACATCAAGGAGGGATGCCATCTCCCGAAGGCTCCCAAGGGAGATTTTACACTTAGAATATTTTCTGAGTCCTGCATATTTTCCCCCCCGGACAACTACTCATACACCATGAAGGGATGCCATCTCCCGAAGGCTCCCCAAGGGAAACTCTACACTTAGAAGATTTTCTAAGTCCTACATATTTCACCCTCATCTCAAGGGACCTAATTGCCGAAGGCTGCCTATCAATCGAAGGCTACAGTACTTAAGGAATCAACACTCAAGAAAATTTTCTAAGTCCTAAAGAATTGGCCCCCGGCCTGATCAATATTTCAGTTGGGGCTCCACAGTAGCCGAAGGCTACGTGACATACTACACTGGCAAAGAAAATTCTAAGTCCTATACATTGGGCCCTCGGTCCAATATTCACACATCAGGAGGGGATGCCATATCCCGAAGGCTCTCAAGGGGAAATCTACACTTAGAAATTTTTCTAAGTCCTAGGATTTGGGTTACTACAAGCACCCGAAGGCCCTATGGTGTGCTACACTTGGAAAAATTTCCAAGTCCTAATTGTTGTTGAGCCCTCGGTTGCATATCCAGCAGAGGGTGCCCAACTACCGAGGGCTCCCAAGGGCTAGCTACAATCGAAAAATATTCTAAGTCCTAGACATACATTCAAAAATACCGAAGGCATACACTCAAGGAAAACGGAGGCATACATTCAGGAAGAAAGGAATTGGAGAAAACAATTTATATATACAATGCCCGAAGGCATTCAATCATTCATCACAACAAAGAGTAAATATGGTTATTACAATGTTAGGCCGAGGCTATTACAAAATTGTTCAAATTACAAAGTACACATCAAATCATGTCATTCCCGGGGGCCGCCTCCCCCGATGGCTTCGATGTAACTTCTGCATCGGCCTCAGGATCGTCGCCCTCGGCTTCCCTTCGGAGCTCGGAATCCTCCAGGTCTGGCCTCTCGACATCAGGGGGGAGAGGAACACGGATATCTGGCTGCAGAGGGGGGAGCCCGTACGCCGCCGGGTCAAAGTCCTTCGGCTCAACCTTCAGATGGCGGGCCATCCTCCGGTAGATGAGGGCTTGAGTGAAGAACTCGCCCCCATCATAATACTGCTTACCCTTCCGGGCCATCCACTCCTCCCCCGGGCCCTCGGACCATTCATCAACCGAGGCCTCAACAACCGAAGACAACCATGCCTTGTGCCCCTCGGTCTTCCACCCCCCGTCCAGGAACCCGGAGATGGCCTCCTCCCGGGCTGTGGCGACAGCTTTCGCCTTGATGGCCTCGGCCTCCTCGGCTGCTCTCCTTGCGGCCTCCGCAGCGGCCGCCTCAGCTTCTGCCTTCTCCCCCCTGAGCCTCTCGGACTCCGCCCTCGCAAGCTGGAGGTCCTCCTCAAGCTGGGCCATCAGCTTCGTGGCCTGGGAGTCCCTAAGGATCAGCTCCTTCATCTTGGCGTCTTGCCTAGCTTTGTGGAGGCGCCATTCCTCCAGCCGTCGGAACTGCTCCCCGAGGGCAACGCAAGTCTGCAAAGATAAGCGGGTTGTCAGGGCCAAACGTGATTTCTTAGTTCAAAGTGGGAAACAAAAAAACAAACTACAGTGAACTCACCGTGAGGGAAGACCGGAGGATCCTGTCTTCAAGGGCTTGATCATCATCAGCCCCGAGAGCTGCCCTGTCGATGTCGAGGGTTATACCCCTCAGGAGCGCCCTCGGGTCGGCTGTGCCATTCAACACGGCCGTACCAGCCGGAAGGGAGAGCGTGAGGACCTCGAGAGATGGCTCCCGGACCACCCCCGGCACCTGCGCCGTCGGCATCACCGGAGGGTCATCTATAATCACCACCGGGGGGTCATCCTTCGCGGCATCCCCCTTCTTTAACTTTTTAGGGGCTTGGGGGGGCTCCTTTGCCGACGGCTTTCTCTTAGCCGCAGCAGCATCGCCCTCGGGCTTTTTGAGGGGCGCACCGACGGGTTTTTGGCCACCTGCGTCCGGCCCCTTCGGATCCTTGGCCGGTTTGTTCTTAAATCGGGCGAGGCCTTTGACGTTCATCATACTTACTGGAACACCTGCAAAAAAAAATGAGGGGTTAGGATCGAGGGGTCACTACTAAGTGGCATAAAGGATTAACAAAACAAATGGACAAACGTGCTAAGATGAGGGTGAGAATGCCCTCAGCTACTACCTCCGGAGGCTCCCTCAAACACTGGGAACTTCTCATCAGTTTCCCCCAGGAACCGGTACCGCCGGAACCCGAGGGTGTAGAGATCTGCTTCTTTGGTGCAGTCCTTGATGGAGATATTCTTGTCCCGGCCCTCCGGGATCATGGCCAGAATCCTGCCATCTTTCTCGAGGGCGGCGCTCCTCCTCTTCTCGTGCCTCCTGAAGCGGTCACGCAGTTCCCTTGGGAAGGGGCTCTCGGCTAGCTTCACATAGCACCACCGGTCCTTCCACCCCTTGTTCGAGGAGGGCGCCTCGGTGAAGAGTTTGAACACGGACACCTGCTGCAGATTAGCGAATCCCTCGGCATTCGCGTGCCCCCCCCCCCCCCCCCCCCCGGCACAGGTTGAAGCTCTGGAAGAAGAGATCCAGGCTAGGCGTCACCCCCCGGGACTTACAGAGCTGAAGGAAGCCAGTGATATAAGAATGGCTGTTCGGGGTCAGCTGGCAGGGAACCAGGCCAAAGAACCGAAGATACTCCCGGAGGAAGGGGTGCAGGGGGAAGCGGAGCCCCATGGATACTGAGAGGACGTGCACCGCAATGCAGCCCTCGGGAGCCCGGGAGAGAACGTCATCCGGACCCGGTGTCACCACGATGGCCGAGGGGCCCACGTGAAGCTGGGTGACATAGATGTCCGCCGCATCAACCTTCGACTTGATCTCCAATGCGGCGGTGTTGAGATAGGAGTACCCCTCGGGCATATCGAGGGGCTTCCCTTGATCTGCTACGCTGCCCTTCTTCTTGGGAACAGCGGCCTTGGCCTTCTTCTTTCCGGGGGCCACCCGGAGGGGGACCGCATTCAGCGGCCGAGAGGTGCTGGCCTCCCCGGCACCCCGAGGGGGGAGCACAGCAACGGTGACCCTCTCGCTTTCCTTTTGTGCCTCCTCTTCAGCTGCTTGCCAGGCGATGGCCAACTCTTCGTCCTCACATTCCTGCTCAAAGCCCTCGGCCTCCGCCTCAGCTACGAGGGCTTTCTGCAACTCCAGGGCAATGACGGCATCCTGTCCCACCGAGGACTCTGCACTTGAGGACTCCACGTCCGAGAGGACTTCATCCTCCACCGAGGGCGCCCCCGAGATATCTTGAGAATCACTTTGGGACGACATGCTGACTCTAGTTCGAAGGCTCGTGCACGCTAGCGTTTCTAATTTTCTATCTCCTAACCTAAGGGCACGGTACAGGTAGCTAAGAGGTGAAGGGAAAGCGGGCACTGACCTTGAAAGCAGAAGTTCTGACCGAAGGCTGGAGTTTCTCTCACTAGATTTTTTGGCAGAGCTTCGCTAAGACAACTGAGTTCGCACAGGGGAAATGGCTCTGGCCTTGGGGTATTTATAGGCGCTGGAATCCGGGCTTGGGCCCGGAAACCGGGCCTCCGGACGGACAGTCATCATTACCCACCATCGTTTCACCCAACCGGTGACGCCGCCCACGAACAGCCAGCCATCACACGCCACGTGTGCCACCCCCCCCCCCCCCCAATGGCTATATCCTGTCGTTACATATTCCAACGGCTATATTTCCAACGGCTACATTCCGGAAGCCCCCGGGTTTTCTACTTCACTCCACTTCATCAAGGATAGCCTCCGGGTACACTCACTCAGAAGTGCCCCCGGGTTGCGCCCCACACAGCACATAACAGACGCCTTCGAGATCACTCCTTCAGAAACCAAAGGCTTCATATCAGGGCACCCCTCGGGAATTCCCCCCTAGCACTGCAGAACCGGGTAGCCCCCGGGGAGTTGCCTTCATTGACGGATAACCCATCGCACGCAGGTAATGGGAGCCCTCGGGTATCTTCATCGCCAACTAATCAACAAACAGTGGACCCCCCGGTAACAACTCCATTGTCGCACTCATCCAGCAGGCCCTCGATCCCCGAATTGAGGGGCTCCCCTTCGGCGCCACCAGGACATCAACAGCAAGCCTTCGGCTAATCAACACAGGAGCCCTCAGAAGAGAGAGCCCTCGGCATTCCCGTCATTCTCCACTTTATACCAAGGTTTGACATTTTCGATTCATCATTGGGGGAATTCGGTGCACTCTTTTTCCCTCATTAGGATTTTTTCCCAAAGGGTTTTTCCTAATGAGGTTTTTAACGAGGCATCCCCCAAAAATGAAACGAAAAGAGTCAGCCTTCGGCCCACAACAGCAACGTAACTACTTTACTCCTTTTCACCACTTTACAAGTGCCTCAAGGAGTGGGGGACTGGAGGACCCCCTCGGGAAAATCATTAAACTACAAAATCTGTGAAATTCCAACAAACAACAAAGCAAGCCCTCAAGTCCCGACATGTGGGTAACTGAGGGACTGCCTTCGGCAGGGACATAAAAGCAACAACTCCTCACCAACTTCAGAGATCACGACGGGACAACATCAAAGGGCAAGCACAGATTACTCCTTTTCCCTCAAGTACCTTTCGGCAAAGGAGTGAGGGACTCCTGATGGAGTATATGGCCCGGGAACCCCCGGCCCACAGACTCCTACTACTGCAGCGAAGGCCCAACAGACCCAGAAGGCCCAACAGGCCCAAATCACAGCGCCCAGAGTACCAGCCAGTCCGCACAACGCACAGGGGTGCCTTCGGCCCCCTGGCCGAAGGCTCCAAATTCTCACAGAGCGGGTTTCTCAAGCAAATTAAGAAACTGGGAGAAAATGGCGAAAACAGTAGCCCTCGGCACCAGGGTGCCATCGGGTGGAAGAGCCCTCGGTTACTGCTCTATAGCCGAAGGCATCTCACTCGACAAGATATCCGCCTCACATGCGTACAGATCACCGTACCCCGCACAGACGTCCCATCCAACAGCCGCATTAAATGCGGCCACATGCGGCTGCCAGCGCCAACCAGTTGAGGTGACCCCTCGGCCAATGAGCGCTTGACACGTGTCCCTGCCCTGCATTTATTGCTACTATAAATAGCACCCCTTTTCCCCATTTGTAACCAAGTCGTAACACGCTGAAAACGGCATTCATACTGAATACACTCTCTCTCTACTTTTATTCACTTACTCTGACTTCTCTCTAAATTACTCCCCATAATAACCCTTCGGATATATACCCCCGGGTAGACTATCCATCAGTAACATTTTAATAATGGATTAAATATGTCGCTAGTAACACCGATTTAGTATACTACCTCAGTCCCTTAAAACTTTGCCAAAGTTAACCGGCACGGAGAATAATAAAGTAAAAACTGTGTGGTTGAGGTTTGTGCAGAAGAGAGAGAAATAACAAAAAAAAAACAAAATAATTGATTAAAAGGGAAAGTGACAAAGCTTTTTGGGACGTCCCAAAAAGGAAAGATAGCAAAGTATTAAGGGACGGATGGAGTATTTTGTTAGTGTATGATAATTTGTTGTATTGTGAAACATGCACGATAATTTACCGATACCATACCAATACCGAACCAAAACTTCGGTATACCGAAATACGGTTTACCGAAACTTTGGTAAGGTAACGGTATATAAATTTTGTATACCGAAAATTTTGGTACAGTAAAGGTATGAGAGAAAATATTAGGTATACCGTACCGAACCATCCCTAACTGTCGGGACCGTTCCACGCCAGATCGAGCTGCACCAATGAGGCTGAGCCTAGTGTTTGTCATTGCGAATTCCAAACTGATGCTATTGGATGAGGCCGAGCATACGTGATCCATCTCGATAGCTTAGCATTTTGGGCTTAAGGCCCAACCTTGTATCTTTGCCTATAAATATCCACCTTTCCCTTTTGGGGAGAGACCTGTTGGTAGGTATACTTCAAAGCTTTGCACGCCCGACTCTTTTTAGAAAATGGTATAGAAGTAGTATTTAGTTGTAATAAGTATATACCTGCACGGGTAGCTCAGTTGGTCGAGCGGTGGAAAAAATTGGACGTAGACCAAGGTTCGAATCCCGCACCGGCCAAAAAGGGGTTTTCAGAGCCTGAAACAAGGCTGACTCTGTGGTGCGCACGGGTAAAGGCCTACTACCACTTTGTTGACTAAGTCACCGTGATTAACCTCTCCACCATCCTGTCGGGTCGGGGTGGGGGCCTTGGGGTTGGGCATTCAACCTTTTGGACCTAGTTGTAATAGGTATAGCGGTAGGCGTAGCTCAACTTGTAGCGAGGGAGTGCCACAAGGGTTAGGTCCCGGCTTCGAATCCTGACAACTTCGATGAGAGGTTATTATGCTAAAATGCATAGGGCCTCTGCAAGTGCCGGGGACAGAGCCCCACTCTCTATCTGTCAGATTGGGATTATAGTCCAATTTACATCCTCCCAACGTATCGTCCGATCGGGTTGGAGGCCCCTTAGGAGTGGGGTGTCATCCTTTTTTTGTAGTTGTAATAGGTATAATGAATTACCGGCTCCGTCCTTTAATTCAAACATTGTGTTTACATTCATATAATAACGTATTTGATATTCTTCTACTCCCTCTGTCCCCTTAAAACTTTGCCAAGTTTGACCGGCACGTAGATTAATAAAGTGAAAACTGTGTGAATGAGAGTTGTGCAGAGGAGAGAATTAACTGAAATCACAAATTCTTTACTTAAAAGGGAAAGTGACAAAGTTAGTGGGACATCCAAAAAAGGAAAGTTGGCAAAGTTTTAAGGGAGAGTGAGAGTATTACAAAACAAATTCATATGGACGCATGCATATTTCAATATAAATAATGAAT